TAGACATTTTCAGTGCCTGTCATTTAAAAACCTACCTATTCATTAAAAAAAAATGCAAATGCATTAGTTTTGAGTAACTTTTTGAGGGTTTTAAATTCTTTCCCTGTTTTCTTCTTTTCCCTATCCCCTTTAACTTTGCTTAGGAGGTGAACTGTGTATTATATTTGCATCATATCCAAGAGTGAAGACAATTAGACTGTTTTGTTGTAAGATCTGCTAAGGTGAGAATTAAGGTGCTGGATTTCTTGTTTGACTGAAATGCTTAACTAGAAGGCTGTGGGCAACTTCAGTCAAATTTTTATGTGGATTGCTTGGTTTGGTTACTGCCTGCTATTTTAAAACAATGATGATGTCTGAGGCTCAGTCATTATGGTGGGTTTTGTTCACTGATTTGATACAAGGAACATGTATGTCAATAGAAAATCACTCAGGCCTTATGTCACTTCAGACAATACCCAGGATGTGAACACAGAGTTCTTGGAGGTGAAAGGAAAATGCTTTATCCTGCCTCTTCAGCCATCCTTCCATGGGCTGACAGGAAACCAAAGTACACAACACCCTCCTACAAAGGGGCCCTTCTGTTTGGAAGGGACAAAGAAGTAGAAAACATTATCCAGGACATACACTATTGCTTAAGCAAGCACTAAATGGATGGTTCCATATGGATGGTCAGTAAGAACTTAAAATGCGTTGCAAAATTCAAGGTTGATTTGCCCCATGTCAGCAATTTTCTAATGATACTTCCCAAAAGAGAGGCCATTCAGTAGCTTTTTGTTGTGCAAAAGCATGGGAAAGTATTGACTGAGTTACAATCTTTCAGAACCAACCTCACAAGTGGTTAATTTTGAAAGCTCTCCCTCCTGACATTTCAAAACAGCTAAAAAAAATTGTACCTCAGATATGACTAATCCTGAAATCCATGGAATGATTGGAATATTCCATCACAGGAGTAAATCTCGGGAGATTATCTCCTTCATGTGAGAGGCAAGTCCTAACAGCTACAAAATAAATCTCTCCTGTTTCCTGGGTTGCAGTGTTAATTTGTGTGTCAAAGGAAAGGATACACAGTCCAGTTATTGTAGGACAATTTGGTATAGTTATCAGAGAAGTATTAGCTATGGTGTTTCTTCTGGATAAAGAGACCAATCTGAGTTGTAGCTACAGTATCCCTGCTAGAAAACAACCTAGAAGAGACATTACAAGTTTTAAAGTCTAAGTTTTCATGAAAAGTGTGAAGTAAATGTCTTGTAAGAAGATATTTTCTTTGTCAAAACTTTTGCAGGAGTTTTTACATCTTTTTGCGTGGTCTTGCCAGACACCAGCTGTGCTTGTCCTGGGGCTGCATGTCACCCTGTATGTAAACAGTATATAGAGTGCAGCACTGAACCTCTGGTTCAAGTGCCAGGTTTGCTGTACACCATAAAGTTTGAATGGTGTTGTGTGTGCAGAACCTGACATAAACATTTAACATATTCTCACAACCTAAATTCACTGCTCCCTTGGTCAGTCTTCTCTGCAGCCCCTGGTGGGTCTGCCAAGAGCACAGATGAAACCTTTGAATTTTTCTCTCACCTTATTACCTTTCTGGATGGAAACTGAAAATAGTTTTATCACTACCAGCTTTACACACAGGGTTTGTTTGGAAGTGCCTGGAACATATCCAACTTTTGTCTTACTGGATGTTCACCAGATAACCACCTCTCCGTGGCTGTGTCTGGACTATTTTTGTCTCAGAGGCCTGGAGATGAATGGCTCTGTGTGTTATTACAGGTTTACTAGGCCATTAAGCATTGCTCCCAGTAAAAATATCAAAATTCTGCATTGCAGCCCTCGCCCTCATAATTACATTTGCATTTCATTTAGCCCAAAGAGAATAGGGATTACTTCCTGTAGTGCTGTGGGGTTCTTTTCTTGAGAAAACTTTAGGGAAACCTCTCGCATGTGCATGTTTGGTTTTACCAGGGTCTATTTGTCTATATTTTCTTTTTAACTGATATTGAGACTAATAGAATTTCGTAAATATTCTCACAGTGTCATCAAATTAATGCCTCCTGTCAGATGATAAATTGCACCTTTTATTGAACATACTGCTAATAAGCAACAGGTCAAAGCAGGTCTGACATCACAGATCCATGAATCAGGGTGAGGCTCTCAACCTGCAAAATAGTTTACAAGATGAAGGGTTTAATTTCCATACTATTTATATTTGTGTTGAACAGAGTCATTCTCCCAGGGTCCTCTGAGCTAAGGATAGACAAGACATATCAAGAACCACTTCCATGAGAAGAATTTGGACCAGATATACACTTCATCAAAACTCCTTCATTAGTGCCAACATGCTGCATTAAATGACATAAATGCATGGAAAACATATGTCTGGCTTACAAAATCTGTCTCAGGGAGAAGACACTGTTTTGGTTTTATATAAGCAGCTGTTTCCACTGGATTAATTCTTTGCTTAATGGGTTCCAAATAGAAGCAAGGGGCTTGATTCCAGAGTCTTTGTCTGAAGAACACTTGCTTACCATGGATGTTACTGAATTTTATTAATAGTAAATTATCTTTTTGCAGATTGCCCTTAGGTGTCCTGCTTGCATTGCCAGCTGCTTGTGGAGGGGTGGCTGATTAGTGAAGAACAACAACTATTTATTCCCTCATCCTTGTGGTAGGCCAGGATACTGAACTGCTGCTCTCGATCAGTTTGTTCTGACAGTGCATGGAAATTACAGCACAGCCTTTTCTAGGGCATTGTCCAGTTTCAAAAAATGCATTTTAGTAGCTTGATTGGTCTCCATGAATGTGGATGTGTGCTGGTAATTGGTTACCATGCCCCCAAAATTGCATTCTAATGTTCCACTGTATGCGATTGACTGAGAAGTACTGTATAAATTGGAAGGATCATTGGATTAACCGCAAGATGACAGTGATTAAGATCCTAGACTGGGTTCTGGACCCTCTCTTTTAGCAACAACTTCCTCTGTGATTTAAAGGAAATCAATAAAGGTTAGGTGTCTCCATATCGTGGAAGACTTGGCCTTCAATTTCTCAGTGCACTCTGCAAAGCAGTAACCGCAGCATGCTTCCATTGCACCAGCCCTATAAGGGTACACATTGAAAGAGACTGCACTCAGATATTGAAGTTACAAATGAGTGCCTGCTCCATCAATAAATCAGAGAAACTGGGCTAAACTGAACCCCAAATCCTGACTTCTCTGGACTGTTTCATACGGTTTGAGAGAAGCAGGGAGGAAAAAGGGAGGCTGAACAGGAAAAGTTCTTGCCGGTGTTGAGAAGATTTGGCAGATTTGGTTATACAAGGGCAAGGGCAGGGGATAGCAGTTTTGGTGCAATCTATACCAAAGACAGCTATAGAACAGTCTCTGCCCATGAGCACCACTGTGTGTAAAAGTCCTTGCTCAGGAGCTACAGCTCTCTGTGCACCTGCTTGGAGTGATTACTAGCTGCTTTGCAGACAGAAAAGACCCAAAGCTGTCAAAAAAATAGCCAAACACACAAACTCTGAACAAATGCTAAGGCAATAAATTTCTAATCTACCTTTTACACAAGATGCATTTATTTGGTTTCATCTGGTGTGTTAAAAAAAATTACACCAGCTACCATTCACCAGAAGCCTGTTATCCTGGAACTGGCTACTGCTTACAGCACAGCAGCCAGCCATGGCCAAAAAGTGATGAACAATTTGTTTATCTCCTCTCTGAGATATTTAAGACCCAATGCATTTTCTTTTGTGCTGCTGTGTGTCTGCACTGTGTCAAGTGACTGGACAGGAAAGCGCTTACATATGGGGATTGGGTAACACTAAGCCACAATTTCTCTTAGGAAGATCCAGCAAGGTCCAGCCTAAGGGATACACAGACAAAGTGTGTATGGGGTTTTTTTTTGTTTTGTTTTGGTTTTGGTGGTGGTGGTGGTTGTTGTTGTTTTGTGTGTCTGTGTTTGGTATTTTTGTTGCTCTGTTTGTTTGGGTTTTTCTGAACTGGAGAGGGAGGGAATATCATCATAATTGCATGAGGAAATATAATGATGAGAACCTAGCATTCAGTGTGTGAAATTTGCCTGGTCTGACAATGTTTCTGTGAAATAACACCTGTGCTTACAGTAATATTGCCCATGTTGTGTTTTGGTTTTTGGTGTTGTTCTGCAATCCATCCAGAAAAAACTGCCAATCACATGATATGGTTTTGTGCTTTACAATGTACTGCATAGGTTATTTTTTTCAAAGAATCAACAGTAATTAGCTTGATTTTTCTAAATCAATTATTATTTTACCATATCCAGATAATTTATACTATGTACGGATAAGCATGTGCAAATTCAAGACATTTAATAGCTGATCAGCCTTTCAGACTCATGTCAACTGATTTATGAGTTAACAGTCAGTGATAGCTGAGTGCTGCCTTCTTCCCTAGTCAGGGAGGTTATGCTTGGTAGGCATCATTGTTCTGTTATGTTCAACCAATGAATCCTTTTGAAAAAACCAGTACAAAATAGCATAGAATATGGAAATAATATTTTGAAGTAGAAGGTTCTGCTTAGAACTGTCTGACATATGAGGGAAGGTGAAAAAATTCATTGAATTACGTTTGCTGTCACAGGCTTCGAGGTACCTCAGTTTAATACAGTAGCAGTTAATGATTAACATAAAGAACAAATAACTTTCCTCAATTCATTCACCCTCCTTGGATTTCTAAACATCTGTGGAAATGACCACACACACACATGGGTTCCTGTAACAACAAGCTTTGAGGTTTATTTAAAAAACCAGAATTCCTCAGTCCTGTGCCAAACCTCTAGTAAGGACCATAAAAAGGATTTTTAGACACTTCAGTCACTTTCCAGTGATGTACATCTGGGCAAACCTTTGCTCTGTCTTGCTTTTTTTCAGCTACCATTCTTTAACTAACCTTCACTTAACCTCAGAAGGTTGATTTTCAGAAGGTGTATTTGAATATATGCTTCCACTGGTTTTTATCCCTTAGGGATGACACAGATTGGATGTTCTGGGATATCAACAGAGAATTTTCAATATCAGGCTTTTGGAAACCATGTGATCAACCGAGGTATTTCAATGAACTAATCTCACTAGTTAGATGTAGCAAGTGCAACCATGTACATGAGGGTACCAGAGGGCATGTATTTCTACCTTGGGTCTCAGTCATTTGAGCTTTACAATCTCTTTGTTTTCACAAGCTGAGTTTTTTTTTTTTTTAAGGGGAAGGATTCTGTATCAAATTAAAACCTGAAACAACTAATTTCTGTTCCCTGTTGGTTTTTTTGCACCTATTGGCATCATTCAGCCACTCTGAATCACAATTTCTCCATTTCTAAAATAAGATAAAGCTAAAAGAGTGGCAGTGTAATTGTTATTGTTGCTGTTGTGTTGGTTAGATCTGAGGATTTCTTTCTACTGATATGAATAATCATAAGTGTCTAGTTTCAAACATACTCCAGAATGCCTTGAAAGTTCCAGATCCACAATTTCCTTCATGCCAACAAAAAACCTACAACTAAAACTTAAATCAGATTTTAAAAAGTAAGTTGAGATAAGCTTTTTGGCTTGCCACTAGGGAAAAGCCCTGAATAAACCTGCTCTGGCTTTCACAACACACCTGAGAATGAGTCACTACGTTTTGGTAATCTTGTATTACCAAGATATTTTCTTTTCAATTGCAACAACAGCTAAATATATTTAAAAGAAAGCTGCATCTGTTAGGGCTTTTCCTTGGCAGAGTTTAGTAACAAGTATTATACATAGCTGGCTAGCAGAAAGACTAGCTGATGCCTGGGTGCTTGATTCATGTCACTCCAAAGCCAATAGGGCCCCAGGGTAGGACAAATCCCGTGGAAGCAGGACCAGGACTGGTCTGGCTTCTTCTTTTCTTGCTGCAGACCCTCACCCAGTGCTTCTTTCTCACCTAATTTGCCTCACATGCAGCTTTGAGGGGATTCCCAAGAAAGGCCACCAACTGAACCTCTGCTCTTTTCATAGGCTTGCTGTAGTCTTAACAAAGTATGCCTAAAAATAGTAAAAATAACAATAACAGTAATATTTTGTGTATGTGCCATCAACCCTAAGGACATGAAAGTCCAGCATCTATTATGCTGACTTAATGACTGTTACAATGATTGGCATGAGAAAGGAACATCACAGTTCCTTTGATACTTCAGGGAACAAAGGCGCACTTTTCATCCCCGAGTTTACTTAAACACTAAAGGATGAGACTGAACAGTGCATAGACTTGGCAGTGTCAGTGTGGGGGTAGGGGATGAAGGGAAAGGAGAAAACCACAGCTTTTATTTCCACACATAAATAATGCTTGTTTTTATTAATTCTCCTCTATGAGTTGAACCGTGTGCTGTAGCACTGTATCACTTCAGAGTATGTTCTTTCACTGGAAAAAAATATTTTCCAGCTCTAATCCACTCACAAAAATATTGCCACAAAAGCTCCTTCTAATATGCGTGCCTCAGGAAACAAACATTTATGATCCCTGATGGTAGAAAGATGCCTACCACTACTGGCATGTTCTGCTTTCCCTGTCTTTGCTTCAATAATTTCCATTATTTTGTTTGTCTGTGGTTGCTGGTGCAATCTTATTTTTATCTGCTTTATCATACCCTTTCAGATGAACTTACAAGAGAGCTTCAAGTCTCAGCATGCATCAGCTCTTGGACTACACCAGCATCCATTCGAATTGAGAGTATGCAAGTCAGACAAGCACGGCCCTGGGGCTTTGGACACAGTCTAGACCTGAGGTGCAGTGATGAAGTAGGGCGGAGAGGATGTCAGAGGCTATGAAACTCCAAAATGTAAGTGGATGTAAGTGGAAATACATGAGGAACAGGCTGCAGGTCAGATGTTGCAAAGAATGTAACCAGACTGATTGATCCGCTTGTTCCAAAAGCTTGTTCCAAAACACTGGGTTCCCCTTTTAGAGTTAAAACATATTTAAGCACAGAAATTGATTCTGTTTTCTAGCAATGGAATGGAACTGGACTATCAGCAAGTTTATTATCCTTAATAAAAGCAGAATGGCCTTTATTTTGAGTGGGAAGATATTAGTGATTATATTTGACTTGTTTTACAAAAGACTAAGAAAAAAATACCTTTTAATTGCTATGGTTATTTCCATATTTTACTGCATTTTCTTTTTCAATTGCCTCGAGGCTGTATTATTTACCAATGGCAACTGGTAGTTAGTTAGCAGGTTACAGATCTATTGCTGATTTAGCATCTCAGAAAAAAATATTATGATGTATGAAGTGAAGGTTAAGATGAAGTATGTTGTTTAATTACAACAGCATTGAATTGCTCCAGCTAATCACTGAGTGAATGTACTCTAGAGCTTTTAAATCAAATCTATATGGTCATTTTCAATAACCTCATAATGGAAAAAACTTCTAAATCACCACTTCCTAAGAGCATATAGCCTGACTACCACTGACTTGAATCACCTGCATGTTGTGTTTACCCTTATTCAGCTGCTTATTTTGAGTCCCAGTGTATCTCACCAATATTTAGCCACTAGGCCATGAAGGCAACAGTTCTTCAATTCATGTATCCTGAGCAAGTGAAAAGACTAAGTTGCTTTAGCATATTAACTTGATAAATGAGTAGCACTAACCAGTCTTCCCAACACCACACAGGGTTAGCACAGTGGGACAGAGATATCCCACACTAGACAGATATCCTATCTACTCCTGCAAGCAACAGTAGTAAGTATACCAACATTTAGCTATGTTTGTTTGTGAATTTATTTCCAAATTAACTCACATAACTTGCATACTAACTTTCCAATTGCTTAGGTTAAAGCTTCCAAAAAGGCCCTCACGTAGATATTATTTATTCTTAATATTTTAATAGAGAGTTTTAACAAAGGGAGATTCAGATATGACCTGTGGTACTTATTGCCTTTCATCGTGACTTTTAGGAGAGATCTATCTTTTGGACAGAAAACAACGTGAAAGAATGATGTAGCAAGACTTTTTTCCACCTTATCTCTCTTTATAAAATTCCATTTGACCATTTGCTATAACAATCCAAATGTGTTTATTGTTGCTTAAAATAATTAATATTTAACATTTAATGTGAACACTTAAACCATATTCCCTTTAAGTTCCTCAAAACAGAGGAATGTAGAATCACAACAGTCTGCTATAATCACTCTCTTCCCATCCAGTGTTTGCATTTCAATATCTCAGGAGGAGAACACTGGAAAATAACATTATGGAATACCCTCCCTGGAGACTGAATTTCTTGGTAGTGTTGGTTTGGGGCATTTGGAAAAAGAATACAATGTCATACCGTGCCAGAGAGCTTCCTGATCCTGACCACTGAGAATTGCTGATATCATTGTGTTACTGGAATATGAATTGTAGCAAAAGGCATTGAGGAACCTCTCTGGTACCAGCTGCTTTTCTGCAGCAATTCTGTATGTTGATTCTTCTGGCTTCACATCTTGTATCTACCTGACCTCAAGTTTCCCTTCTTTAGGGCCTACACAAGGCAAATTGCCCCCTCTTTTTACTGAACTGTATTTTTAACTTCACAGGTAGTCTTCCATTTCCCTTCCAGATGTGTCAAATCATTTCTACCTTCTTCTTTCCTTCTTGTTATGTTGATGCAGCATAGGAAAGAGTACTGCATCCATCTCTGCTGTCTTCAACACAGGAAGGACATCAACTTGTTGGAGCAAGTCTAGAGGAGGACCACCAAGTGGATTAGAGGAATGGAGCACTTCTGTTATGAGGAAAGGCTAAGAGAACTGGCTTTCTTCAGCCTGGAAAAGAGAAGGCTTCGGGGTGACCTAATGGTAGCCTTCCAGTATCTAAAGGGAGCCTACAAGAAAGATGCAGAGGGGCTTTTTAGAGAGACATGTAGTGATAGAACAAGGGTAAGTGGTTTCAAACTGAAAGAGAGTAGGTTTAGATTAGATATTGGGACAAAATTCTTTACTGTGAGGGGGTGTGTGCGAAGCACTGGAATAGGCTGTCAAGAGAACTTGTGGACGCCCCACCCTGGAAGTGTTTAAGGGCAACCTGGTCTAGTGAAAAGTGTCACTGCCAACAGCAGAGGGTTTGGAACTAGGTGATCTTTAAGGTCCCTTCTAACCCAGGCCATTCTATGATTCTATGATTCTATGATTCTATGATTCTATGATATCCGGAAAAAATAATCATAACACCAGAATGCTTGAACTGCATCCTTGAAAAATCGTGCCTACGGGCAGCAGCTGGAGGAGGAGGAGGGATGTTCGGGGGATGGAAGCCCTTCCTGATGACCACCACGTCCCTGTGATCCCCCAGACCGGGCGCGGGGGTCCCGGGGGGCGCCGGAGCTTGGGGGGTCGGGTGCAGTGCCGGGAGCCACCGGCAGGGGGCAGGAGGGCATCGCCCACAGCCCCGCGGGACGCTGCGCCGGCTGCCCTGGGTCCCGCCGCATCCTGCGGGATCCCAGCCTCCAAACCCAGGCCCGAGCAAGATGTCCCGGGACGATTCGGTGCTGCAGAGCGGCCTGACGGAGCATTAGGATGTGTTATAGCTAAAAGGTCTCCCTGTTCTCGCTAAACGGCCTCATTTCTGTGACCTTCAGGAAAGCGTATCATCAGAACGAAACGAGAAAACGACGATTTTTTCAATCTTCCTTGCAGAAACGAGGGTCTCCTTTTCAGTTCCCAACTTCACCTTCTGCTTGTCATTTCCTTTGTGCAAAGATTGATCACGATGTCATGACATGATGCTAAACGGGGAATAAATGGAGTCTCTTCAAATGAGGTTTGGTTCTGTTTTCCGAGTGTGTCATCATGTGCCCACTTCCTAAAAAGCAGCCCACAGCAGTGATGTGGATTGCTGTCACTGTGATGAGTAAGACCAGGAGAGAAAGCACAAGGCTGAAAATTATTTGTAGAACTGTAAAAATTCGTGCTCATAATCCTCACTAAGCCAAGCTTCTGAAGGGTAATAAAAGACTTACCAGATGCTGTAAACAGAATCCCTTTTAACATGTACAATGAATAATATTTTTTTTAAAAATCAGCCTATATTGATCAAATGCTACTAACTGTTTGCAGTGCTGTGGAGCAGAAACCTTGCTCTGAGTGACCTTTTCTGCTTTGAAGTTTGGGAGTTTGCCTTGTGCCAACACCCGGAGCAGCCAGGATCAACTGTGTGCAGGGCATGGTGCCAGGCTCATGAAGATGCCCCCGAGAGCAGCCAGGACAGAGGCAAACTGCCCACTTGTGTGTTGCACTGCCAGCAATGCCTCCAGGGTCAGCCAGGACAGTCGCTGCACAGCTTGGCACCAGAGCAGTGCTGTCCCAGCGGATAACCCAGGGTCACTGGCTCTGGCTGTGTAGGGCCTGGGTGACCTCCTAAGCCCATAGTGGCCAGGGAGTTGAAGGGCTGGGGTTTTTGCAAAGTCGTGTTTGCAGTACCATGGTAGCCTACCCAAGATTTAACCAGTAAGGCAGTATGTGTGGCAGGAACACCCAGAGCAGGTCGTTATACTTGTAATTTGCCAGGCTCTCAATTTAGCTTTTGTTGCGGAAAATAAAAAAAAAAAAGAGCTGCTGCCTCGAGTACTACTGAGCAAGACAAAAACAAGTGGCTGGCTAGAGATCACCCATGAGCTTGATTTTTAAGAGGGTTAGCAACACTGTGATATTGTTCCTATGTTGTGTTAATATTTATTCCTGTCTGATACTAGAGGTGTCAATGTCAGCAGCTGGGGGTGGTGTAGCCTGACCCTCTCTATTTATGCCCCTCCACTTTCCTTGCAGAGGACTTTGCTTTGCCTTTCCTCAATGCCACATCTCTGTCCTCTTGAAATGCCTCTTCTCACCTCTTTATTGAGATTGGAAATGCTGTCCTTACTGCTTTATGTACTGAAATACAACTCCTTATTCTCTGCCTGATCTTTTTCATCACCCTTTCTCTTCACCAAATAGAGGTGAGAGGTATCAACCTGTTTATAGCTATTCACTTCTCAGATTCCTGTATTTCCTGTTTATTTATATAAAAAAGTCTGTGTATACACGTGCAGAAAATGCTGACAAACAGAATGGCAAGTGGCAAGAGCCATAGCTTGGAGTGGCATTATTTGGACCTGCACCTGTTTATTTAATCTCACCTGGCAGGTGAGATTTAAAAACATCTTTAATTTGGAGCCTGCCAGGGGGCCTGTGGTGTACCCACGCTGCCATCAGATCTCTCCAGAAGAAATAAAACCACAGATCAGATCCTCCCCACCCTGCGGCGTACTAGAGGATATACCATCCTCTCCGAAAAATGCCCTGAAAAAAAGAAGGTCACATAAGCCAGGACTGAAGATTTTCCTGCTACTTGTACTCAGAGTCATAGCGAGAAGTTTGGCTGTAGCTTTTGCAGTAGAGACCTGAGTAGAGGAGCCTTACGAAAAGGGAACAGTCTAGTAGCACAATAATTGTCTTTGGCACATCTCTCTGTAGACTACCCCCATGCTTTTGGTGCTGCTGAGAAGAAACCGGAGATGCATACCTGCTCTCTGTGACTCAGAGCAGCTGGTAGGCACAGTGGAAGGAAGCAGTGTCAGGGTTGGTGGTTGGTGGTTGCTGGAGCGTGTTTGTGCTGGGGCCAGTGGTGCTGCACAGCTCTGCCTGTAAGCTGCAAAAACAACCAACCGGCCTATTATTGCTGTTATTATTAGAAAGGTTATGAAAATGGGATTCATCCATTTCGGCACTTAAAAGCATTCACAAACTCCATAATTCACCTCACTGTTCTTGCTGACGTGATTAACTTTCAAAGGATTCTGTAGGACTGCCAGATTCTGGAAATGTCAGAAATTATTTCCCAGAAACCTTTTTTACAAGTTGGTAGGTTAAAGGTGGCATAAATTCCACTCTTGTTGCTTTAATAAACAGGCTATTAACAGATATTGTGACAGCACATTAGTACTTTATGCAGAGATTAAATTTATGATTATGCCATACTGCTTTCTAATGACCTGAAATTTTATATTGAACAGGAACATGCATTGTCTTAACTCCCTTGATGATACAAAAGCTCTACAAAACTTGCTGCAGGTTCATCAGTTCAGATGCAGGTATAACTCCTACTGGGCACATGAAAATTATTTAGGAATATAATGTCAACATTGATAACAATCATTGTTTGTATGCTCTCGAAACACAATAAAAAGAGCATGTATTTCCTAAGGTTGCCAATACTGGGGAATTCCACTTTTCCCAAGTGGATAGAGCAGTTTTCCACAGTTTCCCTATGCATCTGCTCAGCTCAGCACCTGGAAGCCTACCTCTGCAGGTGACAGCTCAGCTGCCAAACCTATTGGCTGTCATTGCACAGTCTTCCTTGCCTGCCTATACAGGGTTGTGGTATAGGTAGTATAATATGGTATAGTAAATAATGTGGTATAGTAAATCCTGGGATAGTGCAGCTAAGTTAGCTAATAACAAAGAATGACTCTTGAATCTCCACCTCTGGAGGCTCTATGAACAGCTGGGACACCTCAGGAATGCTGTAGGTTGGTCTTTGGATAGAAGTGACTTTCTGGAGTCCGGCCTCTCTTTATATTCTGTGATATTATAATAGTTTTGACTATATTTGAACACCTGTTTCACCAGTAGACAGGGCCTGTCAAGATTCTTACTCTGGAATACAGCTTTTTGTCTTTAGTATGAACCTGGTTTAATTAGAAACTAACTGTAATATTCTCTTCATTTGCACCCTTGGTTTCTCTCATCTGAAGCTGTGCCTGTGGGGAGCTTTCCGAGGCCATACCTGCAGACAGTGTTTTTTGCAGTCATCCTTTTACTCTGTTGTAAAATCTTTACATGCAGAGGCTGTATGCAAACACAGAGTACTGACTGTAATGTAGTTACAGTGCTGGATACAAATAAATCAGTTTCAGCTATATTGCACTGTAGCCAAGAACTTCCAAAGAGTATCTGGAATACAAGAAAAATATAAAATTTCAATAGAATTCAATGAGGTTATAACTCAAGAGACAGGTAGTGGGAATAACTGCAATCCAAGAGCAAGGCTTTAGTTTCCTGAATCCTAAAAAGATTTGTGGCTTTAATGGATGTTCTTCTGAATAAATGTCAAATAAAAGGCATGCTTGTTTTTACTTTTTTTTTCTGCTGCACTTCTCATATAATTTTCTCGTCCTCATCTGTGCTTTGGCTTTTGCCCTTCATTTATGAGTTCTTCTCATGGTCCCATATTATATGGGTTCACAAAAATTCACTCATAAAAACTTTAGTATTTATTTACCTTGTTCTACTTTCTTATTATAGTATCTCTGAATGTACTGTACGTTGCTAATTACAGAGTATTACATGGTGCTCATAACACCAGAATGACAAAGTCCATGCATGTACCTGTAATTGCATGCACATGCACAGCATTTTATAGGATTTTTTTTGACCTATACACCAACTACTGAAGTGGTTCAGCTTTTTCCTCCGGTTTGTCATAATTCTTTTAAATCTAAATTAATGCAATTTTGAATAATGCTGCATTGCTTCTTGTGTTCATTAGAATAAAGAGTCCTAGTGAAATCCTACCTGACATTATTACGTTTGGTCATTTAATGAATCCCCTGAAGTTTTATTTCGTGATCCTCACCCCAATCTACAGCTCTATCTTTTACCTTTTGTTGCTTTCTGTAGGCAGCAGGGTGTCTGGGCCACAGGCCAGAGGTCTGCATTGAAACGGGCATAAATCATATGCACCTTTAGATACAGATATACAAATGTATAATTTTTTTAATGTTAAATTCTTTAGTTTTCGTTTTTCATCTACTATTCACTTTTTGTATTTAGTTAAATCCACTCTTACTGTTCCCTTAAAATTCAAGTGGTTTGAAGAGATCTTTGATTCACCGTGGCACCCCTTCAGTATAATGCCAGGGTCATTTAACTCGTACATGAATAGTCACAACTTTCATGGGCAAAATGAGTGCAAGAGCCAGGAGAACAATGAACTGCCATCTCTCCCAGGCCACCTGCCTGCACTGGAGGAGGTAAGGAATTCCAGGACAAGCTATTTTTTAAACCTAGCATGGCAAATACATCCAGAAGACAATACTTCATAAGTCATTACAAATGTTGGATCAGTTTGTCCTCTTAAGTAATAAATATGATGTGGACACTTTAGAAATCCATCTGCCATTAACACTGAGTAATTAAACTCCTCTATCCTACTACCTCATGTAGCCTCCCTGAAATGCCCAGAGGTCTGTCCCTCCTTCCCTTCTGCTGTGAGGCAGCAAGAGCTCGCCTGGCGCTGGGGCAGGTGGCTGCAGGTAGCCCTGCAGACAAAG